TGCTGCAGCCACCAGGAGCCCGCACCTGAGCTGCCCTTTGGTCCTCTGCGGTGCAGAAGGGATTACAGCTATAACAAGCAATTCATTTACCTTTATAATACCTTTTAATACAGAAGAACTTATTAGAATAAAATTGGTACTTAAAGACTTATATGAATTTGATGTCATGTCAAAGTTCATATTTTACCTCTCTGAACCTATCTGCAAGTTCATTCTGTTTGAAAAATGTATGGAACCGTTGATCTAAGCAAACAAAGCTCACATTATCACTGACCTACAAACAGTAATTGAGTTTGAGATCAAACTTTTAGTTTCACCTTTGTAAAATGTATATTTTTCAGGCCCTGGCCACTGCAATCAAAATAACAAAGATTAAGTTTACTTTAGCCTTTGATAACAATGAAATGTAACATTTACATTTCTTGGGCATAGAAAATAGCAGTATGAAAATGCTGAGAGGACAAGAAAGTCGTTGGTAAACAAAATTAATGATAGTAGGTCTGAAGAATGTTACCTTGCTATATAAAACCTTCCACAGAATTGACAGTAGTAAGAATATAACTTTAAGGAAACCTTTCAAAGTTTTTATGATATTTATATAGATTGGAAATCTTTATTTCAGAAGACTAAATAATAGATTAGTTGAACTAATTGAATTTACATTAGTAGATGAAGTTGATAAAGAATTTCTAGATTCATGATGTATGGTGGGATATATTTTGGATTCAAAGTAAGTTAGAGCTTGGGCTCTAAGAGAAGATAGCTTTCTTGGTACAGTTTTGCCAAGAAATTAGCCATATTAGCTGTAATACTGGAAAACACTCTTTATTTTAGTCTTCTCTTCCTCCTTCATGCACCAACATTATGTGATATAGGGATCAGTTGGAATGCACAATAGCTGACTTTTTATAAGCATGAAAATAAAGTACAGAAGTATGGAAATATTTCATGTTTTAGAGTTAATTTTAAACAAATAGAAAAGTATCATTTTAGTTATACATTGTTATGGTTCAATTGTTCAATTGGACACAAAAATGGGATACTGTATGCTTTGGGAATAGTTTTATAATCCTGAATTCTGAGCAATAGTAAGGGTTAATCTGAAAGTTATACAACACTAAATCTAAAAATGTAAGTTCCTTTCCACTATAGTTAATCATTTTTTCCACTCAAACTTGCATGGGTTTCTTGTAACCAGCTTTCTATTTGTTGGATTCGATTTTTTTTTTGCTGGGTGTGAAATTAATTAGGAAGCTCAATTTTGAATACAGGTTTTCATTATGTTAAAATAGCTTTATATTTAGCATTAGAGCTAGAAAATTACAGTCAGTGGTCATGAGGAAGGCGAATCTGTTGATGTGGTAGCCCTTTTGAAGTTATTCACTGTCCATCTGTATCCCTGCTGCCTCACTTCCTGTGGTGGCCCCAGAAGTATTTGGCCATACTAATAGCACATGGTAGCAACATATGGGAAGGCATACACATAACTAAAGAAATAGCAAGTGGCTGTAACAACTTATTTTGCCATGAAGTAGAGCTGCTGAGAATGGGAGCTAAGGAGGGGTTTTAGAAGTCTGGCTGATCATATAAGACCAGACATGTCAAATGTAAGGCTCATGGTCTACATGCAATTTACAGAGCCATGTCAATCCCACAGGGCTCCCAGAGATGCTGGGTATTGAGGAGCAGGGTGAATTAGGGCAGGGCCAGAACCCTGTTGGAGATGTATGTCAGTGGCAGGGGGTGAATGACATTTGTGTTAACCTCTGTGCTCCCACTTTTTCCACTGCTCCACTCCCTGGCTTAGGCGGGGAGTTGGACTAGATGACCTTTGGAGGTCCCTTACAGCCATACTTTGTGACCCTCTGACTCTGTCTAGATCCAGTGTACAAGGAGGGGTGAATTTTACACTCCTGCTATAGAGTATTGACCCTCTACATAATCTCTACCAAGGGGACAGATATACTAAATTGATGATATTTGCAAATTAAGAATCCAGATGTAAATCATTGGTTGCTATATGATGGTAAGCCCTAGTAATAAGGGTGTCTGCTCTTTCTGGAGAAATAGGGATTGGGGAGTTGGAGCTATATTCCTTGCTCTGTTGGGCATATGCATATCTTCTACTAGGGAGCGATGAACAGCCTGAGGCTTTATAAACTGCAAAGCTTCTAGCAAATATCTAAATGTCTATGAAAACCTTTTCCTTCCAGATATGGTAAAGGCCACTCTCTGAATTAATTTAATCTCCCATGATCTTTTACTTCTGCTTTGAACTCTTCTGTTCCCATTCTCCCCAGTCCTTGGCAAGATGTGTAATTCCTAGGGATATGTAAATGAGATTATTCATTGTCACAGTGTGGCATGCCGCACATGCCAGTCCTGACATGGGAGGACCCCGGGAGGCATGGCAGGATCCCAGAGAAACAATAGATTGCCCAGTAAGGGCAGGAAATGGTCGGTGCTTACCTGAAGGTGTGGAGCCAGCAGGAACAGAGCAGTGAGCAGCACTGTGCCGCGGGTTTTAGGCACCTGTTGCTTGAGGCTGAGAGGGCATGCAGGATGTGACATCATAAATCCACATCTGCAGCCAGTAAGAAAAATGCAAGCAGAGCTGAGCAGTGGAGGAGAGCAGAGTAACATGCCTGCATCCAACTCCTCAATGATGAGTGGGGTAAGAAGCCCCACCAGTTCCTCAGTCTGGAAATCCAGAGGAGTCTCTAGTCACCCAGTGATCCAGGGCTGCTCGGAGGCTCTTCATGGACCCCAGCACCCTGATACTGAAATAGAGAGCACGTGAGTGCAGCAGCGGCCAGAGCCCACTACCTGGCCATGGCAAAGTCATGGTCAATTTCTTAGTTTTATTTTGTTGCTCTTCAATGAATCAGTTAATGTTAATTTGGAAGACGGAAAGCCATTTGTGAATAAGGAGTCCTGACTCCAGAGGATAGTAGAGTTCCAAATATTTGACTCGGATGGGAGACTTAAATCCAGGACAGCTGAACAGCCCAGAATTGATTGGGGAGTAGTGCCTGATGGTCACCCATTACAAATTAATTCTGAACCTGATTTATTTAAGAAAGCTGTCAAATTGATTATGTGCTTTATTTATTTATTTATGTGAGCCTATGAATCAATTTGGAACTCTGAGAATTTAAGAGTTCCCGTGACTTAATTACAAACTGTTAATTTAGAAAAACCCACATAGTGCCTGGGTTAAGGCTAGCCCAATTGAATGCCCTCAAAAGTGAAATTCAGAACCCTGGAATTGCTTACAGGTCTGGCATTCCCAAAATCTAAAGGGGTCAGGGACATCTGACCATGTCTGCCTGGGGGTGGGAATATTGACAATAATCAGGCCTTGGTTGGCAAGTGGACAGGGGTGTAGGGGAGGAGGAGCCCCCCCCCCCAAAGCACCGACATTAAGAGCATGCCCATGGGTTGTCTGTACCATACCAGGACCCTCCTTTCTACTTAAGATCAAGGGGTGGTGAGCAAGCTGAGAGAAACTTCTTGTGGATGTATCGCTCAATGTACCCCAGTGCCCAAGGAAAAGCAGGGCCAAGCCAGGGAGGAACGCTCCTGAATAGCAAGGCACCTCCTGTTCTGGCATAACCAGGTACATTCATATACTGATGAAAGAAAGAGGAAGAAATCAGGTATCCATGTGTGTCATGTGTAGGTAAGAGTCCTATCAGATTGAGCGAGTGAAAGAGAAATCCTTAATATGGGATGAAGAGAGGAAAGGGGTTGGTCTTTTGTGAAGGTACATGGTAGTGATGTGGCAGAGTGAAAATGAGCAAAATAGGGCTTCCATAATAGTAAGGAAAGAGTTAGAAAGATAATCCTTGAATGGAGAGGAGGAAAATGGTCTTCCTGATAAAGATTTCCTCTTATGATTTTCCATTTATGAGAGAGAATGAAGCCAAGTGATCCTTCATCCCTGCAACCATTAACTCAGTGGGCAAGCTAGGACTTTGTATGGAATGGTGAATGGAATGGTGAGCATTAAAGTTAAAAATGATATAGATATTAGGGATGGAAGGGACTCCATAATCTATGGAAAACAACATAGTATAATTTATGCCGCATTTCATATTTTAGGTTTGCTTGTGCCAGTCTCATAGGGTTTCTACCATATTCCATCGGGAGCTTATTCCACGCATAGTGCATATCAATTTCAGGAAGCTTCTCAGGCTAATTTGTGTGTTCGTTTGCTCGCTCATTCGCGCTCTCTCAATTTTTTAATTTAATTTATTTGCACTTATTTTATCTCTGTGTACTGAGTCACTTCATGAATGATTTTTACATTTTTCTGATACTTGTAGTCTATTACCAGTTCCTGATAAATGCACTTCATAAGGCAGGATGGTCAGGAATATTCCTTTTTTTATTTTCACTCCATCACATTAGTGGTACAAAAAGTTAATCTGATCTAGTGATGAGTATATTTTAAACGTAAACCATAATTTTTTGGGGGGTGAAACAAATGTCAGGCTGTGGGTTTCTACAGTCAGCTAGGTCTAGATGTGTCTCTTATTGTATGTTGTGGCAGGAGAGAAGGATTAAATTACTGAGGCTGTCAGAAAGGACAAGTACTCTGCCATACATTATCATTATCACTAGCTTCTTGGGTCGAAGAAAATGCCATAAATCCCTTCAAATACAAAGCAATAAAGACCACTGGCTTTTACAATCATGACTGCCAATGCCATTAACAGAAAATGACAGCTATGTGGCACACTTATTTGCTGCTTGTATCTTTTGTGACAGTGTGCACATAAACCTGCCAGTAACATGACATTAGATCACATGACTGTTCAGATTTAATTCTAGTTTTCATTGTAGCTTTTTCCTTAGGAAGGTCTAAGGAAAGAAACGGGGGGGGGGGGAGATTCCTCCTCATGTCCTATTCCGTAAAAACCAAAAATACCCCAAATTGCTTTAACTTTAGTTGATAACTACTTATATTCATTACAGGATTTTGATTTTCTTTGCAGTGATGTACGTAGATAAGGAAAATAATCACACAAGGAGAGAATACCTGAAGTCTATACTTCAAGGACCAGAGTTGAACATTGGCAGGTAAATATTGGATGAATGAAGAAAAATAGAAATACACCAGATAGGTCTTTGAAAGAATTATATATAGGCTGTAATATGGTATACCTTGAAATTGTTTCCCAATGAGGAAATATGCCTTGAAAGTTAATCATTAACTATGTAGATTTTCACAATCACTTGAACCAATGGGAAGGTAGAATTATTCAGCAGTCATCCACGCTATCTCAGAATCAATGTTAGCTTCCCCAGGAGCCCATCAGCACACTATAACTCCATAAAACATACTGTAGTCTATTACAATATTTTATGACATTTGATATGCCTTCCAGTGAAGTGAATTGCACGTGTCACACTGGCTTTTCAACTATGGAATGACACCTAAACTTTTGATATGGTGATATGCCTGTCCCTTCACTGAATACTTTTTCATGTGCCATGAAATGAAGCAACTCTCTTACTGTTCATAAAAGCTATTTCCACTCTGTCACTTTTTTATGCATGGAGTTCTGGGAAAATTAAGTAAATGAATATTATCATTGTTTATCTGTGATAGATTAAAAGTGCTTTATGGATAATTCATTGCTTTCTGAACCCAAGTCTTCTAGGCAGCGTCACTCAGTCCTGTATTTAGCCTAAAGCTGTGCATAAATTCATGTAGCAGACAGCTATATATTAGCTATACAGATGAGAAAGTTTAAACATAAATTCATTCTACACAGCTAATTGTAATTATTTCTTCAGGTTCACACTGATTTGGAAGGTATACAAATTATTTCACCTTAAAAAGAAAAAGCACTTCTCTTCAGCTTCAGAGTGAATCACAAATGTGGAGGAGCAAAAGATCTGAAGAACTATGCCATGTGCAGATTGGTAGAATACCTGCTGATTGTGTTTGAAATATATAGGTTAACTTCTGCCTTTCAAGCATGTAATTACCTATGCATTCGCAACTATGAAGTTGAGACCTAATGGCAGAATTTGGCAATAAGAGAGAAGTTTCTCTTCCCTCCATTTTACTTGAAAACCTTGGCTAGGCTATCTTGTAGAACAGTTACTATGAATAACTGTATAATAGCCACTGTGAAATAATAGAGGTAACCAGCAGCATCAGTGACATTCTCACAAAGATTGAGCTTACCCTCAATTTAATTTATTTTGTATTGCTAGAGACCTTATTTTCTCTGTTTATTATAGCTTGGAGCCCTGGCCATAATGATACCTGGATGTGGCATTGATTCTGTAGAAGGGCATGAAACTATTAATCTAAATGATGCCATGCCTTGGAATGGAAACTAATATCATGATGAACACAAGAAGTTTTGGATTCATGTTTCCCATCACAAAGCCTTGCATAATATCAGAGATTTTGAGCTTAAACAGGAACTACACTCATGCTTTAACTTTAGGAAATGAAATGATTACAAATATAAATATTAAGGGTGCACTGATAGAGATTTTGGGGGCTGATATGGATAGCTGATTTTTAAGAAGGCATATCAGCCAATACCAATCTGATTTTCAATACGCAGCCCTGCAGCTTAAAGAGCTGCATGCAGCTGGTAAATCTGTTGTGGTGAAGAGGAGGAGGGCGGGAAGGGGTGTTGGAGGGCAGATCAAGGCCACTGCGATGAGGAAGGAGTGAGACAGCAGCCGAGGCAGGCACTGCCCAGCCAGGCAGGGCAGGGCACAGGATGGAGCCACCGCTCTTCCAGAGGGCACGGGGAGGGTGGAGTGGCTCCCATCTCTGCACTCCAGAAGAGCATGGAGGGGCATGTGCCCCCAGATCTGCATGGGGCTCAGGCAGGGTAGGCTGCAGTTGTGGGCTGGGGCTGCGCTGGGCTCTTCCTGGTGGGGGCTGATCCAGGGCATGCGGCTGCGGTGTTGGGAAGGGGACTATGGGGGGGGGCTGCAGCCACCCCAAAATTTGCTGTAGTTTCCCCCATAGCCCCACCTCCCCAGCACCACCACTGCCCGCCCTGAGCACAGCCCCAGCCCAACCCCTCCCCCCCATGTGCCAGAAAGAGCCCAGTGCAGCCCTGGCCCCAAATCACAGCTGTAGCCCACCCTGCCTGCACCCCCACAGATCCAGGGCAAATGCCCTCCCCTGTGCCCTCCTGGAGTGCACACACTGGTGGGAGCCACCCCCTCCCCCCATGCCTCCTGGATGAGCCATGGCTCTGTCCTACACCCCATCCTGCCCCAGCTGGGCAGCGCCTGCCCTGCCTCAGCCCCGGGCCCACTCTCTCCCTCACCATGGGAGTCCTTGGTCTGTGCTCCCCCACCCCTTTCCTTCCCTCTCCCTGTCCACCACAACAGAGTTACCAGCTCCATGCAACTCTCCAAGCTGCTGGGCTGTGCTTCAGACTGCCTACGTGCTGCACTGTGGCTGCGCGCATGCACGGGGCATTTATTAGCCAAATTATCAGCCACATCAGGCCAATTTGCAATATGGTCAGTTTGCTTTATATCGGTGCCGATTCAATATTGGGCAATTCTAGTATTGTGTTATCTTGCTGCAATTTCAACCATGCATAAAAAAAGAAATCTAGGAATAGGGGTGAATTTTGGCATCAGCTCCATACTACAAAATGTAAGGACTCGGTTTGCTGATATAAAATCACTTCAAGGGCTGAGTGAATAATTTATCTTTGTAGAAAAGTTGACCTGAAATTGGATGTTTTGGGGTTTTTGCAAAATTCAGAAGTGTTCAGGTTCAGCGAAATGTTCTTTTTCATAGACGTTTGGGTTGGAAGGGACCTCAGTAGATCATCGAGTCCGACCCCCTGCCCTGGGCAGGAAAGAGCTTTGGGGTTAGATGACCCCAGCCAGGTGCAGGGCCAGCCGCCTCTTAAAGACCCACAAGATAGGGAGAGCACCACCTCCCTTGGAAGCCCATTCCGGATTCTGGTAGCCGTTACTGTAAAGAAGTTCTTCCTGATATCTTCAAACTGACTCATAGTCATTTTCAATTTTAAAAAAAAAAGGATTCACAAACACTATTGTTGAGGTTGTCATTGCCCACCAACCCACTTTATATCCATCCAGTACCCTAATGCAGGGGGTTTAAACACAGCCCCTGGTGCCACCCATGGGTCTTAGAGTAACCCATGAGCCGCATATGGGATGTGCTGGGTGGCCCCGTATGCTGCTTGAGTGCCAGTTTCAGCTCACATCTTGGACTGGCCAACATGAGCAGCACAGCCCCAGAACAGCTACATGCTGCTCTGGGATTGTGATGCACGTGGCAGCTGCTTTGGGGTTCCAGGGCCACACTACACAGCCCTGCAGTAACAGCAGTTCCAAGGCCCCATTGCACAGCCCCACAATGCCAGTTCTGGATCTAGAATGTGGGGCTGGTCTGTGGTTCTGGTGTGGCCCATTGTCCAGGCTTGTGCCATTCATCTGGCCTGTGGGGCTGGATGAATGTGACACCCCTGTTCTAGTGGTTAAAACACCCCTCTGATGCAGGAGATTCTAGTTCAAATTCCTTTGCTGCCTGATTCACAGCAGAGTTTTGAACCAAGACAGGTATCCCTAATTAATGGGATATGGAGTATTTGGGGCTGGGTTTGCCCCAGTCTCTGCTCCTGAAGCTGTTGTGTTACAGTAAGTATGTACATATATACTAGGCTCAGTCAGGAAACTTGGAAATTAGGTTACTCTCTTGAGGACTGTCCCGGGGACATTCGAACAAAAGACGCCCAAGCCATAACCTGGGGGCCAAGGGCCAGATGTAAAAACACAGAAACAAGAAACTTGCTTACCTGCAATATGATGCATGGCACCACTGAAGCAGAGGGGAACCGGCATGGGTTACAAGCCGCGCCTTTATTCAGCTGAGGCCAGCCAGTGACGTCACGAGCAATCACTGGCTGGCGGAAATAAAAAGGATTGCCACAGGAAGAGCAGGGGAGGCAGGCTGGCTCTCAACACCAGCAGCAGCCGGTGCTTACATAGCGAAGGAAAGTCTGGATGGGGAGCAGTGATCAAGGCAGCAGGGGCTCTCAGCATGGGCAGAGGAAGACTCAACCACCAAGGACTGAGGGGCACCAGGAGCGAGATACTGCCAGCAACACCGAGGGAGAGTGGCATCGCAAGCTGCACTGAGCAATAGGAAGGAAGTGACTGCCCAGAAGTAGGGGTTGTAGCAGACCCAAGGGAGATGACGGGTTATCTCCCTGAACACGCACAGGTACCAGGTGCGGAAGACAGGTTGGCAGCGGCAGAGCTGAAGAAACTTCCAAGGTGGGGCGACGAGGGGACCCCATCGACTCTGGGTGGTAGGGCCAGTGGAACAGCCCAATAGGCCACCCATAACCTTATTTTGTTGGGTCCATTTTTTTTCTTTCCTTCCGTTGGAGGGAGTGTGGTGATAGGACCGCAGGCTGCATGAATTGAGTCCCCTAGCCTTATAAGGGGCCCCCGGCATGGGGAGGTAAATGCAGCAGAGGAATGCTGGCATGGTGGCTTCCTTCCTTTTTTTTTCTTTTGCCTTGTTTGCATT